CCGCACTCTAGATTGAACGGCCTGTGGCATGGGGCGCCATAAACATGAGGCAAAAGAGCATCTGCTGGATCCGAAGGCTTCCGTGTACAAGATTTTGGCACGGAGAGGGAGGGAGGGGCGGGGAGCGACGGTGGCCTTGATGGGCCTGACAGCGGCCCTGGCAGACATGGAACGCGCAGAAATCTCCAGCCCTTCGGATCCAGTGTCAGCGAGAACTACCCCCAGGCACTTGCGTGAACGCACGACGGCGACTTTTACTTTCCACTGAGGGGAAGCTAAGTAGGGCTCCGCCTGATCGAAAACCTCCCGATGGGCCGCCTGTGAGCCACGCCCCCGAAATCTCAACATAATCTTGGTCTTGTTGGGGTTTAAGGACAGCCCGTGACGAGCACAAACCGCGAAAACCATATCGATGAGTTCCCCTAACATCTGCAAGAGTTCTGCTGGATCAGGGGAGGCCACGGAGGGGGTGAGGTCGTCAACGAAAGAGACTGAAGCGCACACTTCATCGCGTTCGACCGCCGAGGAGAATACACGCACAGAGGGGGTGGGAAGCCACCGAATCTCTCTCATTTCCATCTCGGCTTCTATCTCCTCTTGAACGCTAGCGAAAGCAATATTAAACACGTCTGTCGCCATCACGGTGCCAGGACGGCACCCTGTGCGGGGAATGACGTATCCATCCGCTCCTCCCACGGCCCAGAAGGCCCCCCTTTGAGCCTCCCGTAGTAGGGCGACTAGATGGGGCTTTTCAATAGTCTGATCAAAGATGGGGCCTGTGATCAGCTGAGCACGAACGCCCGCTGCTAATATTGGAGGCACTGGGAGCTCTTCCAAGACTTCACTGAGCATCTCCCCCTCACCTGGTAAATCATACACCAGCTGCCGGATAGTGGAGTAGAAGGCAGCCGTAAGATCACAAAACAGGGACCCACATGAAACCCCCCGAGCTTCAGAGGCCGCCCAGAAGGCCTTGACAAAATGCGCAGCAGTGTCGCACGATCTACCAGGTAACCCCCCACATTGCTGGGCCAACAGCGCAGCATACAAATAGTCCAGGGAAAGGCACCTGAGGTGTCGGTGATGTTTCTTACTAATCGTGTTGGTCATCAAAATGCTGCGCTGGTTGGCGGCCAAGGCAATCAAGCCTTTCCCCTTGAAAAATGTGCCAACACGCCCGTCTTTGAAGGCCAGGGGTTCCCTAGTGGTCATAGTGACCTTGGTGAGGAGGGGGTGGATGATTTCCACCAGTTCGAGGGGGGCAAGCTTGAGCAGGTCGGGGGGAAAGCCGTCAGGACCAGGGGCCCTCCCTCCTTGGATACCCCTCATCAACGCTAGCAATCCAACCTTCGAGACAAATAGCTCCAGATCCCGAGGAGCCTCATCTGGAAGGAGTGGGATCATATCATTATAATGTCTTTGTATCCCTTCAGCATCCTCGAACTTGCCTCTCTCAACTTTGGCAAAGTGCTGCTGAAGGTTGTTGGCCACGTCTGACTCCGTGAACAGCGCCGTGCCGTCTTCAGTGGTCGAGTAGGGAAAGGTGGTGGGGATCTTGGGTGGGCGACCTCCAAACTGCATCAAAACCTTGGTTTTTGACCACTCCGAGCGGGGAAGCCCAAAATCCCTTGCTTCGGCAATCGTGTCAGCCTGGGCCTCAAGGTGATTGCACCTGTCTTGCTCCAAAGCCTTGGCCACGAGCTGTTCGGTGTCAATCAGAAAACGCTGAAGCCCGAACACTGCAGCGTAGCAATTAAGCCTGCCAGAGGCCCATCCTCGGAACACCTGAGCCATAAGATCGTAGTGAGGCCTCCAGAATAGCGCTCCCTCTTGCATAGCAAGCCCCAGGATATCCCCCGATAACCATCGGCCGCAAAAGTGGGAAAGCGCGTCACCGTACAGAGGCCCTTGTTGGTCCAGAAAAGGTGCAACTTTTTTCAAGGCTCTGGTGGCCCCTCGACGGGCGGTGATAAGATCAACCGAAGCCTGAGAGACATACGGCTGCCTAGGTCGGCGAGGGGCAACCCCGAAGGCCTTTTTTTTTTTTTTTTTTTTTTTTTTTTTTTTTTTTACTTTTTTTTTTATTTTTTTTTTTTTTTGTTTTTTTTTTTTCTTTTTTTTTTTTTTTTTTTTTTTTTTTTTTTTTTTTTTTTTTTTTTTTTTTCTTTTTTTTCTTTTTCTTTTTTGATTTTTGTTTTTTTTTTTTTATTTTTTTTTTTTTTTCATTTTTTTTTTTTTTTTTTTTTTTTTGTTTTTTTTTTTTTTTTTTTTTTTTTTTTTTTTTTTTTTTTTTTATTTTTTTTTTTTTTTTTTTTTTCTTTTTTTTTTTTTTTTTCTTTTTTTTTTTTTTTTCTTTTTTTTTTTTTTTTTCGATGCTGCCCTCATGACCCCTGTAGACAAGCATACGTGATGCTCTGAGACAGGGACCTGCCAGGGGACTACGGAGATCCCTCGAAGCTCTTGCTTGAAAACCTCGAGCTTCAGGGGGTCCTTATAAGCCTCTCGGTCAAGCTTCTTTCCTGACGATATTTGGCGTACCTGAACTGCCTGCCAAGCAAACGTAGCAATCACTGGCTGGTGGTCAACATGTGTCGTAATCTTATCAATGTCGTGAAACGCGTCGGATGAGAGGGCGTGGTTGGCAAGCCATGTCTTCGCTGAGACATAGTCAATACGATGCCTCAACCCTTGTGGCGACTGCCACGTCCAGTCGTCTGGACTGCCAAGCCATGCGTTGACAGCTCTATGCTCTGAGGCGAGCAGGAAGGTGTGTAAATGCTCTCCCCCTTCATCCTGTTTTTGAGCGAAGCCGGCGCTCCCGACGGCGTCAGATGTCAGGTTTCCCACCCTGCCATTGGCATCCAGGAAACACAAATCGGTGCCCCACTTGTCATGCAGCCCCTGGATCGAGTCCCAAAATGCAGCCCTCTCAGAAGCCCCAGCGCCTGAGTGAGGAGCGTGCCCGACCAGCAGATTGCATACTAACCCAGGAGCACTCAAGGCAACCAGGAGCCATCGGGGGCTGGCGGAAATAACACGAAAGTGCCTTCTCTCAAGGAACAGGGGCTTCCCCTTGCAAGTGCCGTACGAAATCCTAGTATTAGCCCACAGCTCACACCCAAGCTCGCGAGACGCGTGCCCCGAAGAAAGCACAAAGTACGCACCAGAGGAGTAAACGCCCTGTGGGTTTCTGGCCTCCTGGACCCCAGCCAGTAAAACACCCTCCTGGTCAAACTGGGTTTTGATAGCCAAATTGCGAGCGAAGCGGAGCTTGCCCTTCCTTCCCCTTCTCTTGGCAACAGCTGCGCTCTTGGCATTGAAGGAGGCCACTTTGATGCTCAAAGCGTGGGAGCTTTTGGAGGACTTGAGCGGGGGCCGATGTCCCAGGTCGTCAGAAGCCTCAGACGCCACGGGGGTTGCAGAAAAACCTTGAACCGAAGGGGTGGGGTACGCCTGGGCCAACCCCTGAGCCGGGCGCCCCAGCCACTCCCATTCGCGCGCAGGCCCATGCTTAGTGGCCTCGGCCCACGGTGGGGGAACGAAACACGGCCCGCATTGTTCTGAACCAACAAGGCCCGCAATGTGGTCTGCTAGGGAGTTCCATGGGCGCCCCTCGTGTCCTTTGACGTGGCAAATCCTCAACGGGGGAGGGTCGTGTGTAGGCCATCTCTCCTTGGCGCGAGTCAAGGCTATGTCAAACATGATCACGAGCACGCATGCAATTTTGTTATTTTCCGAGACCGTAGCTGCACCGTAGACATAGTCGCACACGTTCTGCGAGTCCGTGTGAATGACCGCTGGGGGGTGGTGCTGGTCGCTGATGATCGCCATCAAAACCAGACGACGGCTGCGCACTCGACATCCGTGCTGTCCAGCCCGCCCCGTCCGCGCGGGGTCAGAAAGGAACTCAAGAAGGGGGCCGCCCACACACCCTGGAACGAGCACCCCACGTGATCTGTACCGATTCGGACCGCGGCCCAGGCCCCAGAAGCGCCATCCCCATGTCGCAACGAACCATCGGTAAAGTACGAGACCTCGTCCCAGACGGAGTCCCTCGGAGGACAGAGCCCTAGAGCCCAAGAAGATTCCACTGGTAAATCCTGAGGAAGCCCGAATACCCAAGACATAGCCGCCACGGAGGTGACAAGTTCCTGGATGGTCGGTCCTCGCTCGAAGTGGCACCTTAAGTGCGTAGGAGGAGAAGGAAGCAAGGTTGTGGGCTCACTGCTGCCCGCGTGCTCCTCGGAACTTCCTGATTGGTCAGGACTAGCTTCAAAAGATTGGGGAGGGGACATATGACCCATGTCCCCTTCCCCATTGACCGACAAGGATGCTCGTGGCGATGACCCCTGCACTTCCTCGCTGTAACAAGGGCGCTGGCCCTCAATCTCCACTGTAGACAAAAGTGGTCCGAGCTCGTGGGCATCGGACAGTAGATCCCGATCAGGATCGACTAGGCTGGCCTGGTCACGTGCCGTCTCCCCCCGACCGTGATCCTCCCCACTCCTTCCCATGTGGCCATCAGATCTACGTCTATGGATCCCCACTGACGGATCTGTGCTGACCTCGCGCTGCGTTGTATTAGGGGCCTGTGAAACTAGAGCCTGCGATCCACAATCGGCCTTCAAACATGATTTTAATTCCCTGGGGTAAGGAGAAGAGGGGACAAACGGAAACCTTGAACTCTGAGAGGATGAGGTCAACTTTTCTCCAGGGTGAAAGGCTCTAATCATGCACTCCCCGAAAGTTACTCTTCGCTCTGCCGTGGATCTTTCCTCGGCGGCGATTCCCCTGTGTGCGCTGTAGGGCTCCTCTTGCCCCCTGGGGGGGTCATAAAAACCGAAGGGCCCACGGGCGGCGCCAGGAGCGGGTCCTCTATCCCCTGGGTCGGATGCATGGGCTGGGTAGGGGATAAAAAAAAGGGAGTGCATATCCTGAGGGCCTGGCATCATCTCAGCATCAGTTTTGGCCCCTTGTGTCCCGTATGGATCCTCCGCGAC